AGGCCCGTCAGTGGCTCACCCGTGCCCACTGGAGAGTCTGAGCTCGGCATTCAAGGCCATGGGTGGCTGGCCGGGACTTTGTCTGGTCTCACCCACCACCTGTCACCTCTCATTCCCTTGCACCGTCCCCCACCTGTGCTCCAGAGGACACTGTCACCTGCCTCCGGGACACCTCCCTGCCTTTGCATGAGCTGTTCCTGGAATCCCGCCCCCCCAATTCTTCCAGACTAGGAACCTCAGGGCACAATGCAAATCGAGCTATATTTCTGTTTGTTTTGGTTCCCCAGCTCCTAGCACCGTTCCCGGCACATGGCTTGCTATGTTGGAATGAAGTCCATGTGAATTATTTTCTTTTTCTGTTTGAAGAAAGCAGCATTTTATAACTTTTCCTTCCCAGATCCTGACCCCAAATGTCAATGAGCTGTGTTGAGTGACCACCCAGGTAACAAACAGTTAAGGTGCTGCTAGTGCGGCTGAGTTAACAGTGGGGTGCGTCTCACCTCTCAGCTTTCGGTACCTGATGAAGAGAGTTTTCTTTGCAGCAGGACATTAATTATCTCCACAAAATGTGTTTCTGATAGGGACAGAGGCCGTGAGTGGATGGGTCAGAGACCAGGGCCCAAGGCAGTTTCGAACCTGATTTGATCACGTTGGTTTAAAACTGCCGGACACGAAGGTCCCGAGCCAGTCACGGAGAACGTCAGGGCCCGTTCTGTGTGGCAGGTCATTGTCGAGACCACTGGCCCCTGAAATTCTCTCAGTCACAGAGAAAGGTTATAAACCGTTTTTCATTGTTTTTGTTTTTTTTAACAGGATCAGTTTGACAACTTAGAGAAACACACGCAGTGGGGAATCGATATTCTCGAGAAATACATCAAATTCGTAAAGGAGAGAACAGAGATCGAACTCAGCTATGCAAAGCAACTCAGGTAAGCTGGTGCCCGAGGCGACCTGCTCCCGCTGAGAGGGCGGTTTACGGCTTTGTTCGTAGCACGCACCTGTGATCCTTCAGGCCGTTCCTTCCCCCTTTCATGGGAGATAGCGTATCAGTGGAAACGGTTGTTTTTAATATAGAAGAGGAATTTTCCTAAAACAGGAAACAAACATGAAATTATTGATTTTAGGCTCATTTTTATTTAATTAATTTATTTATTTTTATCTCTCACCCGAGGATATTTTTCCATTGATTTTTAGAGAGAGTGGAAGGAGCAAGAGGGAGAGAGACAGAGACAGACAGAGACAGAGACAGAGAGAGAGAGAGAGAGAGAGAGACACACTGATGTGAGAGAGACGCATCGGTTGGTTGCCTCCTGCACTCGCCCTGACCGAGGCTGGGGATCGAACCTGCAACCGGGTATGTGCCCTTGACCGGATCTCGAACCCGAGACCCTTTGGTGGGCAGGCCGACGCTCTAACCACTGAGCAACACAGGCCAGGGCTCTTTTTTTTTAAAGAATATTTTCTGAATTCCAGAGCGTTTGATTTTTTAAGGAAACTTTTTCTTGAACTATAACCGACGGAGAGAAGCGCAGAAATCCCAGGTGCGGGGCTGCGGAGTTCTGAGAGCGCACTGCCGTGGCGCCCCCAGGTGAGGGGACAGCGGGGACCCCCCCCCACGCTTCCCCGGGCGACGCTCTCCAGACCGCTCACCGCAGGGATTTCGTCTTGCCTTTCTTTTTTATTGACTGACTTTAGAGAGAAAGGAAGGGGGGAGAGCCGGTTGGTTGCCATGTGCCCATGCGTCACTGGCTGAGTCTCGTATGTGCCCTGCCCGGGACCCGACCCACAGCTTGGGCGCATCGGGCCGACGCTCCCACCACCTGAGCCCCGGCCGGGCCGGCCTTGCCTGCTTTTGAACCTCCTGTGACCGTCCTCGTCTGTTAGGCAGCCTTCGCATTTGGCCTCATCATTGAGGAACGTGTTTGTGGGACGCATTCGGGCTGCTGGACGCAGTGGGCGTCGGTCTCGGTCCATCGGTGTCGGCATTTCGGCGCATGTGCCACAGTCAGTCCGTTCTCGGCACCTGGCAGTTGCTTGTTTCCTATTTGGGGCTAAAGCTCAGACCCAGGAGTGGCCTGGGGGGGTCACGGGCTCGTGTTTGTTTAGCAGGAACAGATGGGGTCAGCCAGTCTTCCAGGATGTTCCTGCTGATGCCCCCGCCCCCCCAGGGGTGTGAGAGGCCCCGGGGGCAGCATCTGAGAAGCACTTTGGGCCTTTTACACCTTTGATGGTGAAATCACCCAAGAAACGTATGCTCGTATGTGAAGCGTTGAAACGTTTGGGCAGAACTGAGTCTGAACTGGAAGTGGCACCGGAGGATCTCGAGCGCTGACCCGGGGGGTTGAGCTGGTTCACGCAGATGGGTAAAGATCTAGGTGACGGGCCGGGAGCGCTGCTTCTCAGCGCGGGGATCTGCACGCGGGGTGTGTCCGCGTCCTCGGAGGAGCCTGGGTTCTCCCAGGGCTGCTGCTGGTGCTGGCGCTTAAGCCGGGGATCCCTTCATGGATGACAGGCTCTGCTCCCGCCGAGTAAATACAGCGCAACACACGCGGCTCGGCGAGGTCACTCTCGCTGCTCGCTGAATCCAGATGGGCTCCTGGCGCCCGGCGCAGGGCCCCGCCCGAGCTGTGCGGCCCGGGAGCCGAGAGCAGGAACAGGGAAGGCCGCTTCGAGCTGGTTGTTTACACGGTGCATCGTGAGTCGTAAAAGGCGGTCTTTCCCGGGACGGTGGGTTACCTGGTTCCAGCCAAAATGAGGCCTCACCGTGTGGATCTCTCTGCCAATTCCTGTCAGCAGCGCCGCTCTGCTGGCGCCTCAGTCCGCTCTCTCCCTTTGCTTTGGAGGCTTGTTTACCTGATGGCACTCAGTGGGCTCTGCCACGTCTCTGCATCACTCTGTGCCGTGACGGGGTGCATTCCCCCTTGTACACCCCGGCTCCCCGCCTTCTCATCGCCCTGGGCGAGGGAGCCGAGGGCTCCGGTAACAACGGGAGGCTGCTGGAGAAGACTGCAGGGTCCAGGTGGGCTTAGGGCAGCCCGAGGGCCCCGTCGGCCTCCGCCCCGCTGTCGTGTTTCTCCGCTCGCAACAGTATCGCTTGGCTGTGCCCTCACCTCTGGGGAGGTGGTTTTCCTGAGATTTGAATGCGAACATTTGTTTCGTTACATCCTGAGAAGTATCTAAATGTGTACTTGCTGGGAGACTTGATGCAGAAAGACTGTGAGTTATTAAATAAACACCTCCAAAGCCATCACTGACCCTGCGGACAGGTCTCCTGACCTTTGATGCCGAGGCCTTGGCTGGACTCTTCATGCCGAAACGGAGTCCTGCTGTGGGTCCCGGATGACCCGCGTCCCCACTTTCCCCAGCGTCCTTACCCGCTGCCTTCATCTCCGCGCCTGGTGCGCTGGTCCTCCAAGGCCCTAGCCCCCCGTGCTGATGGGCCAGTCGCTGTCCCGTCCTTGGCATCCGGGACCTCAGCCGCTCCGACAAGGAGAGGCTCCTGCCTCCCCCCCGGCACGGGCCCTCTCGGGCAGCGACGCGCAGCGGTGTCTCCTGCGTCCATCTGGGCGTCTGGACGGCGCCTGCGGTGTTGCACACCAGAAGCCGAGTCCCCCCGGCCTGGCTGCCCCCGCCCACTGAGGGCGCTGCGGCTTCCCTGCTTAGTGCAGAAGCCCCTCGGTCCCCTTTGGCTCCCACCTCTCACGCTTGCCCCCTCCCCATCCACGCCGCCAGGAGGTCCTGGTGACTTTCCGTCCAGACTGATCCAGGATCTGACCAGTTCTCGCTGCCCCACCGGCCCCCAGAACCTCTGCCTGGACTGTTGTCCCCTGACTGCATCCCCTTAGTCCACCCTCATGCCCCTCTTGTCTGTCTGTTTTCCATGAAGCAGATCATGGTGCTGCTCCGGGCAAAACACTAGCACCCCCCCTTACTCAGTAGACCCAGAATCCGCACGGTGGGTGTCCCGCAGAGCTCTGCGTGATCGGGTCCCGGGTCCCCCGGCCTTCCTGACCTCTTTTCCTGTCTCTTCCCCTCGTGTCCGCTCTGACCACCCTGGCCTCCTTGCTGTCTCTAGTGCGCACCAGGCACACTCTCGCCCCAGGGGCTGCATCGGCCTTTCTGTGTGGAGATCACCTGTAGGCCCTTCCCAAGGAGCCGAATGGCCAGCGGGGGCCCCATCTGCCTCAGGTCTGTTCAGACGTCACTTGCTCGGTGGCTGCCTTACTGTCCAATTTTTTTGCAGCGCCATTAACTTTCTAACACTCGTCACTTTCTATCTCTTGTATGTGTTGTTCATTGCTCCCGCTCCTGCCCTGCTAGGATGTAAGTCCCTCCAGGCCGGGCTCCGAGCGTGCACACTAATGTGCCCCACAGTGCAAACAGCGCCGGGCCCCTGGTGGGTGCTCAGTAAATAGTTGTAGAAAGAGTGCAGGTCTCAGGTGCGCTCTGTGGTTCGCGGGGCCTCCAGGAGAATTATGTGTTTGCAGAGGCCTGTGAGAGCCAGTGAGGGTTTTAACCACAAACCGAACAACTGACAGTGTGTCAGCAGGTCCGGGGGGGGGCCAACGAGCCAGACGCAGGAAGTGCCTGAGCCCAAGGAGCTCAACTCCTCATTTAGGGAAGAGCCTGCATGCAGATACGCAGGGAAGCGAACTGCTTAAAGACTGCATTTCCACCCCAAATAGGCAAAAACAGCCATGCAATAGAGCAGGGTGGGGGCGGGCCTACAGGCCAGACTGGCCAGAAAGACCCATCGGGAGCTCAGGTCCTGGGGGGGAGGCGGGTGCCAAGGGCCTGGGAGTAGCTCTGCTTGGCCAGTGCAAAGGTCCTGAGGTAGAAATGTGGTCAAGGAACACAGAGGCCAATGTGATTGGAGCACGGTCAACAAACAGTTGCCTGAAATATCAGTATGATGTTGATAAATCTGCATGATCTTTTGAGGAGACATCTATCATTAAATAATTTTTTATTTTTCTCTGCACCAGAGGAAGAAATGGCCAGTTTATTTTAGACAAAGATGATTGGGACTTTGGTTTCTGTAGGGTCAGTGGCCAGCAAATCACACAGCCACGGTCACATCCTCTACTGCCTGGTCTCACAAATAAAGCTTTATCGGAATACAGCCACACCCACCGCCTGTGTACTCTCCACGGCTGCTTTTGCACATCGGTGGCGGCTGAATAGTTGTAACGGAGACCACGTGAGCATGACCTGTTTGCAAGTCTAAAATATTCGCTGATTGGCCCTTTAAGAAAAAAAGGTTGCTGACCCCTGCTGGCGTTAAATTCCTGGTAGAATTTTAAAACATCTTCTGTGCCCTGCGTAGGAGCACCTACTATTGATTGCCCTTAGCAACTGTTTCTTTTTAAAAAAACAAGAAAACACAAAACACTACATTATTTGTTATGACCAGATAATGAATGTATAAGATGAGAAATGCAGAAACGCCGGAGGTACAGAGTGACATGCAGTGCCGCGTCCGGGGTCTCGCCCGGTTCCCAGGGACAGGAACTGTCCCCAGCCTCTCGCGCGTCCCTCCAGAGAGCTGCTGCGGGAGGAAGCATCGTCTCCCCCGCTCGCCCGGCTCAGCGCCCTGGCCTCCCGCGTCCTGGGGCTGGCTCCAGGCTCGCTTTCCAGCGCTGTGCGGGATTGGGGGCGGGCTGACTGCTTCCAGTTGTTGGCAGCTCTGAACAGTGTTGCGATGAGTGACCTTGGAGAAGACACTTGGCCAGGCGAGCCCAGAGGAGCCCCGACAGCCGCCCTGCGGTTGGCGGCGTCGCCACGGGGCCCCTCTCAGAGGCCGAGGCGTTGGCACCGAGGGGTAGCACGGCCTAGCTTGGCCCTCCCCAGCCTCCTTTACCTGCGCCAGTTTGATAAGTAAATTTGGGCCGCCTGAGCGTTAATTTCGGTTTCTCTTAGCACGGGCGAGGTCGAGCATGTTCTTGCACACGTGGGCCGCTTGTGCTTTCTCCTTGATGAGCCCTTCAGGCCCTGCCCTGGTCAATTTGTTTTATTGGAGCTCATGGGAAATAAAGGGTAACTATGCAGAAACCGTTTTATAAAATGTTGCATGTTGTGTATACAGGGTATCCTGTTTAAATTTACTTTAACGGTAGGAAAGACATTAAGGTGAAACCAAAGTGTTTGCTGAACTTTAATGTTAAACAGACTCGTAAGATTTAGCAGAAAGATTCTGAGAAACCCATAGGGCGGCCTCGTTGCTCCGTCTGGTTTCTTAAGCTCCACGCTGTAATTCTGAGCGGGCTCGACGGACTCGCTGCTGGGAAGGAGGGAAAATGTATCTGCAGGTTCCTCTTCCTCTGCTAATTGAATCCGCGACTCGGCCTGTAGCGTGGTTTCTGGTCAGTTTGTCGCAGCTTCTCCGCTCAGCAGCGTCAGGACAGCAGGGCCTGCGTCCCCCCAGGAGCCGGTGGCATAAGCCTCGGGCTCTTTCTCACGTGAGGAGGGCCACGGTCCCCGACGGTGTCGCTCGGCTGTTCTCCGGCCGCACCCCCTTCTCTCCACCTGGTTGCTGCTTTGTGTTTCGGTGGCCAAGCCTGGGGCAGCCGAGCCTTGTTCTTCTTGGGTGCCTTGTTTGTTTGAGGACACGTGTGAGGAATTGTTTTCTCTCTGGGCAGCTGGATAACCCCCGGGCTGTGCCCAGTCAACGCAGTTTCGAGGCCTCCTTGTTTCCGGACACCCTCCGTTCGCTGTATCTGCTTTTCCCGGGTCAGAGGCTTCTCTACTGATGTATTTGCTGCTGTTGACAGTTCTCCCGGCTGCTCATTTTCATTTCTCGCTGGGAAAGTACGGCTCTCGGATCAAATTTTCTTGTGCCATCTCTTTTCCAGAAATCTTATGGGGAGCTTTTAAAAAAACAAAACAAAACAAAGAGAGAGAAAAACAAGACATTCCTGGACCCAGCCCTGGACCTTCTGTCTCAGAGGGTCTGGAATGGGGCCCAGCGGCTCCTTTTTAAAAGCTCCCTGTGGTTCTCGGGATCGGCCCAGTTAGGTGCAGGCTCCTTGCTGAAGGTCGGGTATGTCTCTCTTACCTTTTAACGGGCCTCTTGGAAGAGCAAGCTCAGTATATAAACACTCAGGATGTTTCAGGCGGACCCCACACCTCTGAGGGCACTTCCTGTGGCTCGTTGGCCCGCGCGTTTCTTCTAAATAACCTCGGACACACAAGCCCGTCTCAGAGAGCAGAGATGGAAGCTGATCTGTGTGTTTTTTCCTTTGTGCTGGTCCCCGGGAGACATATCTTTAGGCCTGGAATTCACTTCTAGGCCTCTGAAGTTTTCCGTTTTCTGCCGGCCTCTGTAGTGAATTATTCATTGGTGCCTTAGAAAGCATTTGGATGCTGTAGACGGCAGCTTGGTCAGTGATGGGCGGCCACCGACCCCGGTGGTCCTCATGGGGCGCCCCCCCCCCCGGGCTTCAGTCCTGGTTAGGGTTCGCCTGCTTCATGGGGCCCCGAAGAAAGCTGGTTTCACCTGGACCTGCTCATCTACACGTAAACCTTTGCGTGGCTGCTAAGGCCTGGAAGCTCAAAAGAAATTGAGGATTTTTAAGAGAAGACCCTTTAAAGTAAAGTTTTGAAAGAATTGTAACACAGAGTGTGAATTTAGAAGGGGTGTTTTCACTTTGCTGATTATAGTTAACAGAAGAAATGGTTAATGTTTGAAACCATGCGCCAGCCCGGCCAGCGTGGCTCAGTGGCGGAGCGCGGGCCTCGGTCCCGGTTCGATCCCTGGTCAGGGCCCATACAGGACTCGGCCAATGATGCATAGGTGAGTGGGACACAGATCCGTGGGGTTTTCCCTCGCCCCCTGTCTCTCTAAGTAACAATAATAATAATAATAATGATTTTAGCGGTCTTCTAGTTAAAAGTCATAGCATGAACCCCCCCCCCCAATTGTCTCCGCCGCCTTGGAAGACTTACAGGCAGTTTCATCCGCTTCTTGGGGGAGCGGCCACCAGCCGTGACACCGCCCTTGGCACTGTGACTCGTAATTTAAACATTTGGGCACAGTGCAGTGCGGCCCTTGAATTTGAAACCACGATGCGATGGTGGCGAGGGCGTGGTGGCCTGATGAGAAAAACCGCCCTCGGCTCAGAACCACGTGGGGGCCACCGCGTGGCACACGTGGCCCGTGCTCTCCAGTGAACCAGGTCGGGTCTTCGCGGCCAGTAAGCGGCCTGCTGGCGACCGCTCCCGGGCTCGCCGGCCGCCCTGAGGCCAAGGCCAGCCGTGCGCCCTTCCTGGCAGGGCCGTGGCGCTCGCGGGAAGACGAGGAAGGACGGGGTTGTCCACGGTGGAAGTTTGTGATTATTTTCCTTCACTTACAAAAACAACAACACTGGCGTGACCTGGTTTCTCGGGGACCCCTCTGTGTGAGGTGACGTGTCTGCGTTTTTGTTTCAGGAACCTTTCGAAGAAATACCAGCCTAAGAGGAACTCGAAGGAGGAGGAAGAGTCCAGGTCTGTCCGTCGCCCTCGCGGCAGCCTCTCTGCGCCACCGGAGACGATGGCGGGGGGAC